GTTTTGAAGTTCCCATGTCACATCTGTGTCACTGTTTGTGTCTCAGCAGCAAGTCAATATGGCGAGCAGCCAAGAATGAGCCTGATAGTATTGGCTCAAATATTTACTAATTTCTCGGGAAAGAATCGTCAGTGTGGAGGTATACGGGATTTCTAGGAATCAAAGACAGAGCACGTGCCAAACTGTAAACACTGCTGCGACAAAATAAAATACTCAGGAGACACAACAAACCTTGTGTGGCTTCTAAAAGTAAAACAGGGCATTGACCCTTATGCTGGTGTAAGATTTGATCCTAAACATGAGAAACATGGACATTTACAGAAGCAGGTAGAAGGTCTTATTGTTTCCCTTTTTATAAAAAAAAACATATATAAATGTTTTCTTCAAAGTTCTTGGGTTTTTGTTTAAAAAACAAACAAAACAAGTCAGTTATTTCTGTGTTATCATCCAGTTATATCACTATAATGTTAACAACGTATGCCTGCTTTTGAATAAGATACTTGTGTTGAAATGTTAGCTAATCTTTTGTGCTGTTGACTTTGCAAAAGAAAAATCCAAAAACTTCTCCTCATCCTCAGTCTTTCTCCAAGTAACAGTAAAATGTTTCTTATGCAAACGGCCATTTTTTTGTTGTCTGTTTATCCCTAGTCCACAGTTAACACACCTTTTGTAACAGACAAATGTCTAAGTTCAGTACTAAAAGAATGCCTTAGGAAACCCACTGAAAACAGTGCACTCATCTTGCACCACGATCAAGAAATGAGTTCATCTCAAATAAATATATATTTTTTACCGAGCTTCTCTATGAACCTTACATATTTCTCATCATTCTTCCTTTGAGCCTCGTCTGAAGGCATTATTTTCCCTTTGTGTGTGTATGTTTATGTGTACACAAGTAGAGATTTTTCTCTGATAAAATATTAACCCTCTTGCTTGCAGCCCATGTGCCCTTCAGTAGTCCGACACAGCCAATAGGATTTGAGCCTCTGTCTGCTCGCACTGTTCTCAGCAGCTCTTGCAGTATTTTTGTTTCCTCCCCTCAGTGCAGCGAGAGTTAATCTGCTACTAGGCTGCTTAATACGCACAAAGGGAAACACACACAAACAGTAACCTGCTTCCTCAGTATGCAGCACCAGAGCAGCAGCTTTAGTCTCTGTGTGGAGTTTTTACCTCTGGTCCTGGTTTCTCTGCTTTTGCAAACAGACACAACAAAAAACACCAAGGAAACAGTTTCATTAACCAAAGATGTAATTTATGTCCCATATTTGAGTCACAATTTTCTTGTAGTGTGAGCTACCATCTTTCTTTATGTATTATAAAATATATGTTGATGGTTCTGGGCTCTGTTAAAGCTTTGTATCAGTGAAAAACGGTCTGATAATGACATCCATACTCAGACTGACAGAGAGGACAGCTGCTGAGTCTTTAGATGAGATCTTCTTCCCCTGTGAGTCGATACAGTCTCTGACTCTGCCCAAGGTCCCCTGCAAAAACACCACACACACACGCACACAGACACACACACACACACACACACACACACACACACAGTTTGCATGCCTGCACTAAAAAGGTGTGTTGTGTTGTTTTGATAGTGGAGGAGTGTGAGGTGGGCAGTTGAGAGACTTGAAAGTGGTGTGTGGAGTAGTTCTTGTCGTCTCCATCTCGTGTTGTTTGAGCATGTTAATAAAAAGACATAAAAATAAAAATACACAAGTGGAATGTAGAGTCTAAAACCATTTTATATTGCCAGTTCAAAGGTGGGATATGTACACCCCTTGTAACGTCTAACCTTGAATAGAAAATACAACAGAAGCCTACCGCAGATCTGGTATCGGCCATAGTACCAGTGGTGTATTGGATGAACTGGGACGGAACTGCACTGCGCGCGTGCGTGCGTACGTGTACGTGTACGTGTGCGTGTGTGTATTGAATGTGAGGCTCCTGCTGTGTGTTTACATGTTGTGCCTCTTATGCTTTTGCAGTGCCATAACGCATGTGAAATCACACACTGAGACAGCAATATTACGCCGTTTTAGATTCAATATAAAGGTGCAAAGGTGAAGTGAAGACAGTGCTTAATTTTATCGTTGTTAAGGACTTGCATGAACTCAGATTGTACACTAGTGGATACAACAATATGGTCAATCAGTCCATAAATTTGCATGTTATAGTGCCCACATACCCACCTTTAATCCACCATGAATACAGCACTTGGCAACATTTAGCAAAGTAACAGTGGCAAGAAAAAAAAACTTCCTTTTAATGGGCAGAAATCTCGAGAAGAAGCAGGTTCATGTTGAAAAGCCGTCTGCTGCAACTGTGTTTGACTTTGGCAAGAGAGATAGAGTGACAGTTAGAAAGAGCTGCTATGACGTTATGATGCCGTAACTTGTTATCCCTGAAAAGAATTCACCTTCCAACAGGAACCATTTCTTCATCACAAATCAAAATAGTATCCTGCACAGCAGCTGTATAAGTGGATGCATTATGGTTTCCTTGGGCATCTACTGTTCAGCATCCATGAAGAGCTAATTTCAGTGAGTGTATCATGTGACGATAGCAAACAACAACAGTGCAGTGTTAGCAGAGAATATATGTTTCAAGTGCTCAGCTTGTATTTAGCCTTCCTTCATCATCCATGTAAGGTTTTTGCCGCCGGCGAGTATCCACTGTTTCCATTTTTCAAGCCAGGCTTTACAACAATGAAAGAAATCATACCACATCCATACAGGGTGAATAGTTCACAGCTGTTTGTGTTTTGAATAAGTCACACTTGTATCTGAGTGTTACGTGTTGTAGGACAATCTATATATTTTTTTATATAGCCTAAAGTCAGTATTGTGAAGGAAACCGTTTATCAGAACATGTCTAGTATTGTCTCCTTGCTGACTGCAGATGTGTGTGTTTGTACCTCCTCAGGTGAGTAAGTCTGATGCAAGGGTGCAAGTGGAAGATGTGAAAGGTCAACAATGTCCCTATGCCTCATTTGACCTGAGCAGGAGGTTTCAACCTAACCCTGACCTTAGTAGAAATCATGTACTGTACAACCTGGCCCGATCAGGAGGTTGAACAAATCCAACTTGACAAACACAAGACCAGGAAGGATCATCAAGGTCACTTCTGCATTCCAGAGTGTCCCTTTACTGCAGGAAGCAGCCTGCGAGACATGAGCCAGCGCTTCCTTTCAGGGCGCACAGTGGACACACTCACCTTTCACAACACTGTGCCACTCTCCACAACTTGTAACTCGCTCTCAGCCCATAAACTCTGCATCCGCAGGGCTAACCTGCAAGCTGCAGCACTTTTAGGGGGCAAAAGTATCTGATTACAACCCCCAGAGAGGAGCGATGTCCCTGTCAACCTAGTGTTTTTTTTTTCTTCCTGGGTTTAAGCAGCGTGTCACAATCTGAGCATCCTGAGTGACGGAGCCAAGGGTAGATTAGATACCACGGGCCAGCATGAGGTCTGGGAATGTTGTTTTCCAGTGTTTTATGCCCTACTTTCCAGCATGTTAACACAGTTTTGTCCAATACTCATGTGTAACTCCAGCTGCTGTTCCCTGTAATTGAATCATTGAGCTCATGACTCTCAATTCCAGAAAATCCCCACCCCCCCTCCTTAAGCAAACAACTGAACATTTGACCTGATTTGAAGAAATATTGTCTGGAAATTGTCTCACTGTAAAATGGAAAAACACTTGATCAGGGGGAACATTAGAGGTCATCCGAGTTAAAGTAGTTATTAAAGAAACATCTCATTGGCTTGGGCAGACAAGCTGCAAAATAGGTGGTTGATGAAGTGATTTAGTTTGAATAAAACCATATATTGATCCATCCAATCAGGACAGATTGCTGTCTACCTAAAAGTCTGGTTCTGTTCAAGGTTCAGCCTGTTCAAAGGATGTTTCTCCTTGCACTGTGCTTGTGTAGTAGTTGTGGATTAGACCTGCTCTATGAATATAAAGTTCTTCAAGATTACTTCTGATTCGACTTGGTGCTAAATAAATCTATAAATGGATTGATCAAGTCATGTTAGATCAATGAACCATGAGCAAATTTCATCATAAGAAATCATAATCGTAGGAGTTACCAACTTGTTTTTTCCACAGTTCGACACCTTGTGATTTCTTGTTATTTGTCAGCTTCTTGTTTTTAGATGGCAGCCTCCTGGCTGAACATGGCCTCCCTGTGGAATATAGCCGGTTGTTGTTTTCCTGGTCACAAATGGCCTGGAGGACGCAGAGGAGGAAGGGGGCCAAGGAGCACTGTGTGCAATGTTAGCGATGAAGGTGTACGACTTGTGAGCAGCCAAACATGTTGTTCACATGGGTGATAGGTTCACTGTTGTTTTTGGCACACGTGTGTATTGTGTTCATCCTGGCAGCAGAGGCACAAAGGAGGGTCGGAGCAGTATAGGGCACAGGGGCCAAGGTGACTCACTGTGTTTCTGCTTCTTTTTTTTTATGTGAGCATCAAGACGAGATTATCTGTTCTACTCAGTCCGAGTGAGTTTATTTAGGCTGCTAAATCAGATTGGATGCACAATGAAGTTGAAACAGGAAGTGGATGTAAACACAGGACTGTAATGTAATCATCAGGAGTCCCTGGGGAAACAATGAGTGGCTGGTATTCCCCTAAAGTTCCCTTCAGTTATACAAAACATTTTTAGCTCCGTTATAAACACAGCTGAAAAATCCTTTTGTCCTTTACCCCACGAGGAACAGCGCTGAGGTGATTCTGTTTGCTGGTGTGTTGTTTGTGACAATTTTTCTTAAAGATAATTTGCCGGTGTAGAAGGCATAGCAGGATTTATTTCACGACAGTGGTGTGGGAGTGTGATTAACCAAGTTTATAAAATAATCATTCAATAATTTCATTATTTTGCCAATGAAATGACGGTTGAATATTTATTGACCTGTAATGACATCATGGCCTAACCTGTGCAGGTGGACTTCATTAAAAAACATATTTTGACATGATTTTCTTATTCTTTTGCAGATGTGCACCCCAGCCAACACACCAGCGACGCCCCCAAACTTCCCGGACGCGTTGACCATGTTCTCTAGGCTGAAGGCGTCTGAGAGCTTCAACAGCGGCAGCGGCGGCAGCCCCATGGCAGCGTCCATGGCCACCTCACCCCCACCACCCCAGATCGGCGGCTGGGGCGTCTCACCAAACGTACCTAATGTGCCGCAGCCTCCACAGGGACTCTGGACTCAGGGGCAACCCCCCACGCAGCCCTGCCCCGCCTGGCCCACGGGGGTGAACCCTCACACAGGCGCGGAGCAGAAAGCTAGTGTAGCAATGGAGGCAGAGAGATGAAGGGCAGCACAGGACTGAAAACAACCCCCTTTTCCAACTTGGAGGGGAGGGGGGAGGAGGGAGGGGGTTAATAGGGTGGTGAAAATGTCGGTATAAAGGGGTTTGGGCTTTTTTTCCCAGAAAGACAGATGGATATGGAATCTACGCAAACAAAGAAAAACTCAACATGGACAATTTAAGAAGAGGAGAAAAAAACCAATGCAAAATATCAGTACAAAAATAGACAACAAAAAAAAAGAAATGCACACATATAGTAATAAGAGAGCAAATGAAATCTTTGTTAGTTTTTCCTAAGTAAAAGCATAGATAAGAGAAATATTATTGAACTAAAAAACAGAAATTGAAAAAAAAAAAAAAAACATTGTCGCGCCCAAGGATTCTATGTGATGTTCAAGAACTTTCAAGGCAGCAATCTTAATTTTCAGTTTTTATTTTGATCTTTTTATTTTTTTCATGGTTTCAGCCAGTGTGTGTTTTTTTTTTGGCCACTGGTGTTCTGTGTTTCTGTCTGTGCTGCATGAGGAGAGGGGGACTTGCATTGCAGTGTTTGAGATTGACTCAGAAATCAACACGCACTTGTGTGTGAGTGTGTGTGCATGTTGGGGGGAGGGAGGGGGGGGGGGGGGTGGGGGGTAGTTTGTAATCAAAATGTATACACACACACACAAATATATATATTCTCACAGACACACACATAAAAAACACACGCATTAGCGTTCAGAGGAAAACGCCTCCTACTGTCATCCCCATCGTCAAAGGTGGGACTTTTCTTACCTCACCTGGTGGTCACCTGACTTCTTTCAGCCAATCAGGGATTCTTGTTAAACCAACCGTTGCCGCAGCAGGAAGTTTTTAAAGGTTTTTTTCTTAAAGGCAGCAGCCACTCTGGTTTATGCTACCAAATTCCTAGCTGCGCAGGCTTTTCCTGACAGTTTTAAACCTGGACTCAGACTACAGTTGTCCACTGTACCCTTTTTTTCTGGAGATTTGGGTTATTACAAGAAAAGCGTAATCATGGTTTAATATAACATCGTCTAAATGCTTATTGTTTTGGTTTTGTTGAAAGGTTAAAGGAGGTGGCTTTGAAAAGTGGGCGGGACTTCAGGTTGATTTTCTTTTTTCTTGAAGAGTGAATCAAACGCAGCTGAAACAGCTACAGAATAAAAAGAAAAAAAACACGACTACTCCATCTTTGTAAACAGAATTGCCACTTTGCATGATGTGTTCATAACGTGTAACAATCTTTTGTAGCAAACATACAAGAGGTCGAGAAATGTTTATTGAGGGTGGGTGGAGTTAAAGATGAGGGTGGGGTGGTGGGTCTCATACCCAAAGCTTATAGAAATGCAATAGAGGATCTTTTCTCTATAAATGAGTCGAATCAGCACTGTCTCAATGTAAAAGCAAAAAGGTTTTGTTAGACATGAGAAACAAAAAGAAAAGAAAATGGGTATGTATGGGGCAGCTTTGGGAAGCCCACCACAGGGGACACTACAGACTACTTTCAGATATAAAGTATATATTCACCCTCAGATTCTGTACTACAGAGGGGTTTTTACAACACTTAGGTCTCCAATTTTGACCGGTCTCTGGTCCTGGACAGTTCAGGGATGACCCTGGTATACGGCAATATTTTAAAAAAGCAGGGTGTGCCCCTTTTTTTTAATTTCTCCTGTTTGGATTTCTGTTTTCATTTGATTAAAAAAAAAGAGAGCGTGAGGTAAGAGATATTTTGAATAGCTGGAGGGGTCTTTTTAAAAAAAAACGATAAGAGGGTGATTGGGGAAATTATAAATATAATTATGGATTTTAAAAAAAACAAGTTCCTTTGTATTATTTAGACTAAACTAATGTTTGAGTTCATCCTTTTCCATGCTTCATACTTTATTTGGTTAAATCAGAGTGTGTCTGGGTGGGCCTGTTCCTTAATGGTTTCTCATGTACGTTTCCCCACTTGTATGACTGTATGAGACCATTCCCACAATATTTGTGGACTACCTGATAATTAACTTATCATTTTTGTGAACCTAAATAAATATTGTATGTCAACCTAATCCGCCTTTACTGCATTGTGTGAATATTTGCCCTGAAGGTGTTTGAATATGAGGCTTTAAAAAGGAAGAGGCCGACATGGATCATCTTCAGGTCGCCCTATAAAGACAAATTGTGTGTGTTTGTGAACTATAGATTCTAGAGCAGTGTGTTAAATAATGACAGAGAGAAGATAGATGCATCATTATCCCCACGCTTGGCTACCTCTCAGCCAGGCGGATTTAATACAGTGGCCTAGGCAGAAACCTCTGTCTTTTTCTGCTTTCTATCTCTCTCCCTCTCTCTGTGTGTTTGTGTGTCTGAGAGAGAGAGAGCTAAGAAATCTGCTTGATGTTTTGTGAGAAGGAGTAGCCGCTGATGAAAGCCAAAATGGAGGGGAAAAGCTTTTCAAAGACGGCGTTCGGCTCTGCGGACATCGCTATCAGCACTTCTCCGAATCCTTCGGCTCTTCAGATGTAAACACAAAACAAACAACAGCTGTCCACATGCATGCAGTTGCCATACATAAACAAGCCACCACACATGCCAGTGGTACAGTGGTATGGTCGGTGGTGGTGTTAGTGGTGCCGGTTAATGGTGGTGGGGTGGGGGGGGGGTCACAGAGTTCTCGATGTCCTCAGTTCAACTCCAGACTCCTTCCTCCTCTGCAGGAAATAAAAGATCTCGTTTGCTGATTGTGTGTCACTTGCCAAATCTTTGAGCTGCTGTGAATGTGTCAGCAAGGTCGAGTGAATGCCAAGAACTTGGCACTAGATACTGCAGTGCATCTGAGTATGTGGGAACCGGACTAGCAATAGAACAGCCTAATGTAAAGGTAGAAAAAATGGGTCTTAAAGCCATAGTTGTTTGACTTTTTCCCCGTTTTTACATGTCTTATAACACTCAAACCATGAAGTGCTTTTAGGTGATATCATACTGTTGTACAGTGACAACGCCCTGTTCATTTTATCTATCCTTTACACAAAAGCAGAACGTTGTTTTCAGGGTCACTGCACGGTATGGACACAACATAGCCTCACAGATGGCACACCACATGTACACCTGTCCTGCTTTATGTGTAAACAATACTAGCTAGCTTCTGTTGGGACTTTGGGGTTTATATCCAGTCAGTTTGTCTGACCTTGATTGGTGTTTAAACATTTTTTTGCAAACAAAGAAAACACTGTGTGGTCCTTTTGGCCTCTACAGTTTATTTCATTCAAATAAGATACATTACTTTAAAGCACACACTATGTAACTAGTCCATACAGAAAATGTTTTTGACTTGACGTAAAGATACTTAGCCCAATCAACATCCTGCCACACTATTAAAGCTGTTTCGCTGAATGACTGTTGGTGGCAGTAACGGATGGCCAGTGTGACCGTGCCCTTAAAGGCGCTAAGAAATGTAGCAGTGCAACAACAAAAGCAGTGAAGAAGAATGGCTACTCACAAGTATTTTAAAGGATTCATGTAATAGAGAGGAAACAAAATGAAGTATTTTTGTAGGCCAACCCGGAAGTTAGCATCACTATGGGTTCTTTCAAAAAAAGCCTAGAAAATATGCTTTGTAGCGAACACGTTTATTATGCTTTTGCATTTGGTTTAGAAAGATAATCTTCGAAAATGAACACGACTTTTATGATGTTTGAAGAGTTAATGCAACCCCCAGAAGTAATAAGCTAACATGCTCCAAGAGAACTACACCATGGTTGCATGGCTTCAACGACATCACCACTATGCTTCAGGATGTCTCCAACAAGCTAACTAGCAGTTTTGACTAGCTAGCGAAACAGTAGCTTAATAAATTACTTATTAATCTAATCTTTGCCTTCACCCAAAAATTAAACCTACAGGAGTCCTTGTTTCTAATCGTAACTTCAAACAGGGATGACGACATTTAATGTCCCCGACAACCGCACTGTAGTTTCATTAGCCACTTGTTAGCATCCTCTTTTTTAGGGAAATGTAAAAACTTCAAAATTCCCAAGTGGGGGTACTCAATAACATGGTTAATGTCATACAACAAAACGCAAACATCTCTTATGCTTGAGTTAATCACAGACCTTATTTCAGGCATCTAAACACCAAAAAAAACAAAAACATTGTGTTTGAGGGAAGCGCACCATGGCGTTAAAATGCTATTTTACTTCCTGGTTTTAAAACTCATTCCTGTGGCGCCCTATGTGTTTCGGTGAAGAAAAGTAGAATGTAAAAATAATTACTTTGTGTCCGTAAAACAATCTTTAAAAATGACAGTCCTGTTTGAGTTTATACTAACCATAGACTGGCAAGGATGCTATTGTTTTTTTTATTTCATTTTTAGCTTCTAACGTTAGCAAAAAGGTCACAAGTATTAACTTACTTGACTCCCACATAACCTGAAGTAAAAATGGAGAAACATATACTAAGCATCTTTAATTATTAAAACATCTTCACATCTAATCATGACATTGTTAAGCGTAGGCTTTAAATATGTTTGTATGGCTAGTATGTTTTTGAATTCTAGCTGAAGAAACAAATTCATGCTGAGGAGCTCAGATTTGACTTTGTAGACTACAGAAGTAGTTACAGACAGAAACCCTCAGAATGATGTTTCAGCTGTTGAGAGTAAATAAAATGAAAGATGACATAATTTGCAGTTTAAGCTATAAACTATAAGCTAGCTGCTGTTTCCATCTAGAGAACATGAGCTAGCTTAAAAGCAGACAGTTAAAGTAGCACTAGCCTAAAGTGATTGTCCTGCTTGATTGTTCATTTTTGGCATTTAAAAACCAAACAATTGTTGTTAAGATCACTTTCATGTTACTCTTATGGAAGCTCATTATCAGTTTCAGGATTTAAGACACATGCTGTGGAGGACACTACTCACTATTTGGTTAGGGGCATGAGAGCAGAACAGACTGAGTGACATTGGGTGGTGTGTTTGTAACCCAGCACCCCATCGTCCCCTGTTCTCTGTACTGGTGGAGGCTCCAGCTCTTTACTGGACAAGCTGCAGCTAGCAGCAGGAAGTGGGAGAAAGGTGACACAGACACAAACACACTGTAACAAAACACAAAGAGTCTGGCGGACGTTAGAGAAAGAGAGAAGAGAATGTGTAAGAGTCATAGCCTACTGAGAAAAAGTTATTATGAGTTCTTAATGACAGAGTATGCAGTGAAGGTTTAATTTCCTGCAAAATCTAAATTACCTGAGATTCAACAGAATAATAATAATAATAATAACTTTATTTATATAGCACCTTTTAAAAACACAAGTTTACAAAGTGCTTTGACAAACAAGAACAAAGCAAA